TGTTTTTCTCCCTGAGTCTGGCCTTCATAATTCCATTCCATCACAACACCTCCCCTAAAAATCCAAACACCAGTATGAACACAAATGAACAATGAAAACAATACAATGAAACTTCGGGAAAGGTGGATTTATTGTAACAATGTCACTAAAAGGTTCTTCACACCTGTCCTGGACTCTGTCTGCACCTCCACAAGGAAGGTACATCTCAGAGTTTGCAAAACCCTACTGTAAAGCAAAAACAAGACTGTACTAGTTATTATCCTGATAATACATCATGGGATCATGGAGTTGGAAGAAGTAAATTAATTAGGCCACTGAGTCCAAACCCCTGCTCAGTGTGGGAAATCCGAGTTAATGCATCCCAGACAGATGGTTGTCTAATCTCTTTTTGAACACTACTCTCTTCTTGAACACCCTTCTCAGTAACTCGTGAATTCTACTGTCACACCACTCTTAATGATAGGAAAGTTTTTCTAACATGCAGTTGGAATATACCTTCTTATAACTTAATTATTCCATGTCTTGCACTCTGGAACAATAAAAAACAAGCCCTCACTATCTTAGAACTGCAACTATACTGAATTCTATCGTATAGTGCAGTATTAATGCAACATCAGGGGTTGTGCAATATGGAATGTGAAGGTTGTGTTATATGTGTTTTATGTGTGTTATGTCTTTTATGTGTTTTATGTGTGTTATGTCTTTTATGTGTTTTATGTGTGTTATGTCTTTTATGTGTTTTATGTGTGTTATGTCTTTTATGTGTTTTATGTGTGTTATGTCTTTTATGTGTTTTATGGTTTTTATATTTTTAAAGCTGCACTGGGGTGGCATTAATTTCGTTGTACAACTTGTACAATGACAAGATTTCTATTCTATTCTATTCTATTCTGTTTAGCACCCTTTCAGGAATTTGGAGAGAGTTATCATATTCCACCCTCTTCTCAAGTTAAAGATGCCAAACTCATTATAGCTTTCTTCCCAGAACTGTAGTTTCTAGTCTATTAGATCACCTTAGTTGCCTTTCTCTGAATTCATTCCAGGTTGACTGAATCTTTTGTAAAGTGCAGAGCCAGAACTGGTTATGGGTTAGGGTTAGGGTTATGGGAAGCGGGGTCTAACTCACAGATGGGTCAATAAAACTTTTACTTCCTGGGTTCTGAAAACGATGCTTCTGGTGATGCAGCCAAAAAAAAAAAAAAAAAAAAAAAAACCTGTTTTTGCAGCCACACCACATTGCTGACTTATTTGAAATAAAATTACTCTGCCATTATACACCCAGAATATCTGCCTAATGCAGAACAAATCAAGCCCTAGGCATATGTCTGCTCCTAGGCATCATTTCTAGGCCTTTTCAATCAACAGAAATGTGACCTTGAAGAAAAGGAGTCATCACATCTTCTGCCAGCTTCAGCCCTTACACTACCTCCCTTCCCCCTCTGAGTTTCAGGTATCAGGTACTGCTTTCCTCTCCTGTTTCTTGTGTTTGTGGATAGCTAGAGAGTATTTTAGTCCTCATTCCCTTTCCATTCCTTCTTCGGGGAAAGCAATGACCCTTTCCTCCTGCCTTCCCTTACCATTCAGGAGGGAAAAGAAATTTTCTTCAGCTGAAATGAATCCAGTGAAATCTCCCCACTTTAATGGCCATCTCTTCCTGACACTGGACAACAGGAAGTAATTCCTAATGCTTACAGAGTCTGCAAGCTGGCAGTTATGGACTACAAAGGAGGAAGCTGTTCTTTTTTTTTAAAGGGTAGGAGCTGTGATAGGGAGGAATGGCAGAAAAGCCCTTCCATAAGTTCTCATTAATAAATTATTTTAGGCAAGCCAACACCATATCTCATTGGATAGTAATGTTTTACAGGAATCTAAGCTCCAGTAATGAGATTGACAGTCACAAAATTGAAGCGGAGGGGGGGAGGGGGATAGGATCTGCAAGTCCTCCTTTCTAAGCACATCAGTTGAGTTCACAGTTGGGTGGGCAAGATAGTGGGAGCGCCTGCTGCAAAGTAGTGTGCAGTGGAGTAGGACTTGCATGCTGGCGAACCAGAAGTTATGTCATAGTGGTCTTGATGATTACAGTCCATTCACAAGACTACTGGAAAATGTAATGGGGAACCTAAATAAAGTTGCAGGAATCATGATTGCTGCAGGGTTGCTGTTAGTGCTCACTACGATGGATTCTGAGCCTAAGAACCAGCCATCAATAGTGTCAGCACTAACAGAGGCTTAGATAGGCTGAATAAGCAAAGCATATTTCCATGTGATAGACTTGTCAATGAAGTTGGCCACAGTGTCAGAACCTAACAGGGACTACCCTTGTATTTCCAAGCCCAGCTATGTCTGCAGAATTCCAAGGACTAAATATCAATGTGTGGTTCTGCATATCTGTGTTCCACAATTTCTAAGTGCCCCAATCTTTGAACCCCTAGGGGCTGGGGTTGACTCATTTGCTGACAGGCCAGATCACTTATGTCATCCGCTAAGTAAGTGCTTAGTCAATGCTTTGGAGGGGATATTATCTTAGCAGGACACTCCCCTGCAAGGTGGCTAATTCTCCACAATATAAGCATAGGTCTTGTGTGCACAGTTGCAACTTTTTTTCTGCAGATGGTTAAGCTTTAATAGTTCCCAAATACATGGATTCAGCTTCTAAAAGTCAGTGATGGATGGAGTGGGAAGGATGGGGCAAAAGAAAATAGTGTTTTCCTTGTTTGTTAGTATTCTGCCTCAGCTTCTTTAGTATCCCATTGATATCCAAGCAGGCCTAAATTAATACAGAAAGAATCTCTGGGGTGCTCTGGCATATGAATTGATATCATATTTTATTTGATAGTCCCTCTTTAAATTGGTCAGTTAACCCTCTTTCTTTCTAGCCTACGTCCACATTCTGAGCTAACAGCTGAAAGTCAGCAGCATACTCCTAAACCAAGCATTAGCCCTGTTGAAGGCAATGGATTTCAATTAGTGGTCACTTGCTTGACTGAATCACTGAAGTTAGGACTCAAAGATGTCCAAAATTTGCATAATTGTTCAAATCCAACCTTGGTGCTAGGAGTATGAGTAAACTTCAAACCATGAAACAAATCTTAAATCTTAATACATTTTAAAGAAATGCTTCACCCAGTATTCAGGAACTTGTTTACTGCAAAAGTTCACTGACACAATGTATCTGTATTAGTTGCTTTACTGAAGAACCCAAATCAAGTCCTATATACTGTATATCTACTCTAGCATTTAAATTCTAGGACTTTTCCTCCTTCCTTTTTTCAGTCAATGGAAATTTGGCCATTCTCTTTCTGGCCTTCAGATAGGAAGAAATCTGTTCTATGTTTATATAAAGTTTCTGTCTAGGCCAAGAAGCTGCTTTTCCAGTCTCAATCCTTACAAGTTTTGTTGTCACTGTTTTCTTTTTCTCGTCTCTCCCTCCTGTTTTTTCTCCCTTTCCAAACTTCTGTTTGCCCTCTCTGTTCACTTGGTCATCTGATTTTTGTATAATAAATTAACTTTGGTATAATTTATTTGCAGAAATATTAGGCTAATAAAATAGTTAGGACTTTATTATATTGAGTAATAGTTGGTCATTTAGTTGATTAATTACAGAATAGTAGGATCATACAGTAAGTAGGGACTTTAGAAGTCAACTAGATTCACTACAGTACTGCTGACAGGTAATCATCTAACCTCTTTTTGAAGACCTCCAATGAAGGAGAATTTGCCACTTCATCTGAAAGATCAATCAGTCAGGAATTCCTCCTGACATCTAGCCTCCACCTACTTCCTTGTAGTTTTAACCCACTGGTTCTGTCCTGATCTCTAGAGCAACAGAGAATAAGTCCATTCCCTCTACAATGTGACAACTCTTCAGATATTTGAAGACTGCCATAATATCTCCCCTTAGTCATATTTTCCGTAGTCTGCCAGCATATTTCTCCTCAGACAATATTTCTATAGGCTAAACATATTCAGATCCTTTAACAGTTCCTCACTGGGCTTGGTTTCTGGACTCCTCACTATTTTGGTAGCCCTCCTCTGAACTCATTCCAACTAATCAGTATCACTAGGCATAGTTTTCCAAGTGGGGTCTGAGCCTGAGTGAAACAATTACATCTTCCAATAAGTTTGCATAATTCTTCTGATGTTGCCCCAAATCCTTAATATCTCTAATTCCATATAAGTGATGACAGCCAATTAGGCATAATGGTTAAAGGCACTGGCTAGAAACCAGGAGACCATAAGTTTTAGTCCTATCTTAGGCAGGAAGCCAACTGGGTAACTTTCCATCAGTCACTCTCTCTCAGCCCTAGGAAGAAGGCAGTGGCAAACCATTTCCAAAAAATGTTGCCAAGAAAACTCTGTTCTCCATTTTGTTGCCAGGGTCTCCAAGGCACACAAAAAAGTGATACTTTAAAAAGTGATACCGATTGAAAAAAAATTAAAGGAACCAATATAAACCATTATATCAACCTGTCCCACCCGGTCCAGCAGAGAAGGCATGTTGCGGATCCTGTCAATGAGAGAATGTTGACTTGCGGGTCCTAGGAGGAGAGCCTTCTCTGCTGTTACCCCCACCCTATGGAATACTCTCCACCCAGAAGTAAGGCGGGCCCCTACCTTCCCAATTTTTCGGAGGGAATTGAAGATTTGGCTCTGCCAACTTGCATGGGGCGAGGAAAGATACAATCGGCCCTGGGTATGGCTGGGGGCTTGACGATGCTTCCTGAGTTTAGTAACACCTAATTAACATCAACCTCTTGGAAATAGTTGTTTATTTTTCTAATGTTTGGTTTTATAACTTTTAATGGTATTTATGTTTTTTAGTGTGTTGTAAGCCGCC